GTTCAAGGGGTATGAATACTTTTGCAAACCACTGTATATATATATACACTGTATACATAAATATACAACACTGCAATCAAAGTGTTATGGTTGAGATTCCTCAGCACTAAGACTGGAAAAACAAATGGATTCAAGCAGTTAGAAGTTAAAATGAGACAAAAACAAATTAATAAAACAAGAACATTTTTTTTAGCATTTAAATCAAAATGTGATGGAAAATAGAAATCTGTGTCCATAATTATCACCAGCTGGGGGCAGCAGCAGATATAAACTGCATGCATTTGACCAATCTCCACAGCCGTTGCAACTGTAACTGTGGTAATGAATGGCCAATAACTATTTATTTTTAACCTTTAGCTGAGTCATGCTTGTTTCCTATTCATTCTATGTTTTAGCTTTAGGTGATTGTATAAAACGAGATTATTTCAGCCTCATGTTGAATTCAGTTTGTGTTGCTTTGTTACAAAGATTCACAAATTTCATTCATTCCTGTGATCTGATATTTAGTTTAAAGACATTGCTGTTTGTCTTTTCTCCTTCTGCATGATTTTGCACAGATATCTGCACCTTTGAACCTTTATCATCAAAATTCATGTYGTCATCATCATCATCTTCATACCTGAATGACTTGCTCTTCAGGTTCCTCAGAAGGTCCAACTGATTCAGAGGYGGAATAACTCTGGGAAAAAGACAAATAGTTTTGTTAGTTTTTTTGTTTTTTTCTCTCATTCTGTCAAGATGGTTTCATCAGCCTGAAAGGTCAACGCTCGCCTTTAAAGCTAATCTTAATCCGGTTTGGCGGTTATCTGTTCTGATGGTTTTCAACTTTTCACCTCAAATTAACGATGGAGTGAAATGGAACGTGTGCAGCTTCCAAGAAGAGATGTTCAAATTCAGAAAATGGTGCTTCAAACGTAAATGTGTTTTGTGGAAGTTAAGTTGAAAAAAAAWTTTTTTTTCTAATTTAAACAACTGAAAACAACAAACCAGACAAAGACAAGTGTAGACATTTGGACATCACTTCAAATACAGGASGTAAATAGATTCCAGTTTTATCCATGTTTATAAAAAAATATGTCAGTCTGAAACTCAGTCACCTGTACATTGGAACGGCCACGGTCTGCTCGTAAAAATCCCAGGTGCTCAGCAGGTCTGTGCGGGAAAGGTTGGTGGCATAAAACCTCCAAGCAGCCTGGAAAGAACAAAAACATTTTTTAGGAGCACAAATCAGAATAAGATATTTATTTATGGCTGTGTGTATGATTCAGCCGCTCTCAGACAGAAACCTGGATGAGGCCGGCTGCAGGGTTCCGTCTCTTCTCAAAATGTTTCTGCCTGTGCTGCTCCTGGACTTTGAGGGCAAAGCCAGAACCTAGAATGCCCTAAAAAAAAAGAGGAAGTTCAGATTTATTTTGAGGAAAAGAAAAGATAATGCACACTGAGATAACCAGTTAAATCCTGCTTGTAAATGTCATCAGCTGTCTAAACATGTACAGACACCTACAGGATCTGACAAATAAAGAAATCTACCCTTAGAGAATAAAGGTTTCTGGGGCACAAGTGGGCAATATTTTATTTCTGAATAATTTAGGTGACAATTCCATGCTTTTCCTCTTGTTTTTATCTAAAATAACAAGCATGCTCATGTCAAAATGTCTCACTGAACACAAAATACTGTCCTGAAATATCAAACTTACTTTCTGTAAATTAGAACTAACTATTTAAACTATATATTTCACTGTTTAAAGACAGTAAATGTGGGTAAAGTTCTCCTTATCTAAGCTTTCATATTTGATATGGTTCTGCCACTTCAAACACAGACATCTRCAAGCTGGCAAAAAAAAAGTTTGGACCACTTTTTTTGTCCAAATTCTTCAGCTTTAGACTTCCCACATGATCATTTGGTTACAGCGTCATCAAAACAGGGGCGGAGCCAGTGGGTGGCCATGGTCACCACAGACAAATCTTTGGCCACCTCATTGGTCACCCTGCTGTACACACCCCTTCCACAGTGAAACAACCTTTAGGGGTGTAATAATCCTCCTGAACAGTTGGTGGCAGTGTTTAACAGTTTGAAACATCACCAAGCTCTGTCCTGATGCATCTCAGTAATCCAGGTAAAAAATCAAAAAGAAAAAAATTGTATAGGTCTTCTGGACGGGTTCTTCTCTAATGAAACGTTTCGTCTCTCCTCCAAGAGACTTCTTCAGTCTGAGAGTTTCAGGCAAAATTCAGGCTTTTAAGCACTGCCTCCATGTGACTGATACTCACATCACATGGCTATCGTTGACACCTAATTAACACCTATTGTTAACAGGGGGTGGAGTGATACTGGCAATAGCAGCGCTGTATGAGGGGGACAACTGAAAGCGGAGGCCTCCACCTCTAATTAATGATGGACGGTCTTTCTTCACAAAAATGGCTTCTTTTACTCCTCTCTCAAACCAACGTTCCTCTCTATCAAGAATGAGAACATCCTCATCTCTGAAAGAGTGACCGCTGGCCTGTAAATGAGTGAAAACTGCAGAGTTCTGGCCATTAGATGTAGCTCGTCTGTGTTGGGACATTCTTTCTTTTTTTTCTTTTTGATCACCAAGCTCTATCACTGAAGAAGATTAATGACAAGGACGTGATGGTTTTCCTTATATACAGAACATATGACGATGTAATCTGACTTATGGTGTCAACTTTTGGATTAATGGTGACAAATGTTTTTTTTTTTTTTTKTACATGTATAACACATTGTCATTTTATGTTCTGAAGGCTGCATGATGCTCTGTGTTTGGTTGCGAGTAGACCTATCACTAAATCGTAAAAAGTAAAATACCCCTCTAAATTCACTGTTGGTAATTATAAATATTGCACACGTTCATTGTAAAATTATTAATATTAGTTTAAAACATGCAGTTGAGGGTCATTATTTGTCACAATGGCATATTATAATTAAAAATAAATCAATACAATAAACAATATAAAAGTAAAAAGCACCCTTATAGTCATTGGATGTGATAAATTGTGTCACATTAATTAACCTTATCTCAGCTAAAGCAGTGAGTTTAAAAACAGGATGATGGAACTAGTTTAATAAATAATTAGTCTCTGAAATAATTACTATATTAAGGATTTATTTATGCAAAGTCTGTTTAACAACCTGGTAAAGTACACCTTCATTCAACAGTGTGTCCCCCCACTTTTAAAATGGTTCTGACGCCCATATTTATAAAGTAGTCACTKCCTGTATAAGGACGTAAGAAAATGACAAAAACACGAAGATCTGCGGAAACTTTCAAATTAAAAAGGATGTAATTTTCCTGGCCACCCCTGTGTGAGTAGTGGTCCCCGTCTGGCCACCCCTGAGAAAAATGTCTGGCTCCGCCACTGCRTCAAAACATCTCATGACCTCAAAGAAATTCTCAGGAAGCAATAGGGAAATGCAGGGAAGTGCTCCGGTCTCGATGGAAAGCGCAGTGCAACGTCAGTGATGAGCACTTCCCATTCATCTTCATCAGCACTTTGAAAAAATGAAAGCCTCTTAACGGCGCACGGTTTAAAGRATTATGTCAAACAACTCGACGCACTCACAGCAGGAAGAGCAAAGAAAGCCACGCCGATCATACAGAACGCAGCTCCGATCATGCGCCCGTTCCAGGTTTTGGGAACTTTATCGCCATAACCGATGGTGGTGAGCGTGATCTGGAGCAAGGAGTAAAAAACAGTTAGGATTTTTCTTTTTCTGCAGCTAAACAGAAAGTAAACAGTGTACGTTCTTTTGTTGTTGTTGCGTAATACAAAAAAAATGTGCAAAATAAATGACTGATATATAATATTACTGTATATACAATTTATATAATAAACCATATGATAAATGCAACAGCTTCCAAACCCAGGAGCATTTGTGTTTAATGAGGAAACAGCAGCTAATGTTTCAGCAGTTCTAATGAAAGCTTATTGTGGAAACGTTTGCTGTCTGATGAGAATGCACTTGATTCTCCTATTTTGTGTTTAYTTATRTGGCTTTATAAACTCATAATATGACAAAGTGCTACAAAAATAAATCAAAAAGTCAAACTGAAAGCAAATACCCATCTGAGTTAGAAAAGACAGTTCARTCATTTGTAAATTTGTAACTGTACACTGGAACAACATGTCAACAAAGCAACGTAAATATATAAATTAAAATGTACAAAACTAAACAAAAAAACCAGCAAGTCTTTAGTGAATATTAGTTATCAGAATAATAAAAACAGCTTCCTAAAAATGGCTTCCMATCAGGAGCCGGTGCAGTCACTTCAAAGTGCCGGATTGTTTGGGACCAATCCTTCACTAATCCCAAAACTCTAAAATGTCARCAGAATGACGTGTTTTACTCATTCTTACCAGTCCCCACCACAGAGCRTCAGCATATGTCTCGAACTCGTCGTTTGATTCCTTTTCCACAGAATAAACCAGGAAAGAAGCCAGGATGAGGCACAGAAAGCCAATATACCAGGCTGTGATGAGCTCCTGCAGGGAAACAAACRCAGTGAGGATCAGGGAAGTAATAAGGGACAGTTGAGGGAGGGGGGGACTCACAAAGACACCAATGCAGCCTTTGTTGACTTGTAAAAGCAACCATCCCATAATAATATCAGACATCAGTGCACGAGGCCCATGCTCTGTGTGGTGTCTGATCGACCTCTTTATTTCCCTCAGCTCCAAACTTGCTGCAGACTTCCTGTCTCTCCGTGTAAAACCACACACATGCACACAACCATAGTTGTCTACGGGGCGCCGAGTGTAAAATAAAATGTTAAAAATTTCACTAACATGTTTTYACCTCACTTTCTGAGTGTTAAAAATTTCCACTAACATTTTATAGTTGTTTAGCTCACTGTTCTTACATTTAGCTAATTTGTTAAATTTTAATGTTAAAAAAATATTTAAATTTTAAATCCTAAATCTAAACGTAAAAGTTAAATTTTAAATATTGAAGTTAAATGTTGAAGTTCACATTTAGGTATTTTGGAATGGACTCCTTTGCTGTTGGTGCTCGGCTCATGTTGTGATGTCATCATCCTGAGACGTTTGCAACCGCCAGCACTCCAATGCAACTAAAGCGTCTTTACATCAAACTTGCAGTTGTGTCTGAGATGCAGTTCTAGACCACAGGGACCACTCATATTGTTTTTCATGAACACATTTTAAATTTAGATTTTAAAYATTATCTTCAGCAGCGTTAGCAGCAGCTAGCGGAGGCTAGCAGCGGCCATTGTTGACGTTTGTTGCTGATGCTAACCTCTGCTAGCCCTTCTATCACTGCTAAAGATAATATTTAAAATAGTGAGCTAAATATTGAAAAATATGTTAGTGAAGTTTTTCAGCGTTTCATTTTTGGCGCCCCATAGTTTTCCACATCTTGTTATGACCTCATTTCAAATCTTGTTAAGGAAATCTTCTTCTTAATGGTAGGATAGAATGAGTTACAATAAAAGCAAATGACTGCTGAAGTTTTAACTTAATCAAATAAAAATGTCAATAACCGGTTTAACAGCCATTCTTTTATGCAATTTCATTTGGCGTTGGGGAACTAATTTTACTTATTTTGTTGCTTTGTTGCATCAAACTGTAATAAAATCAAGCTTGTTATCTTCCACTTAGTGCTGACCTTCTCAGTAACCACAGTGGTGTTTCCCCACTTGATGCAAAACCCACTAATGATCTTAATGATGCTACAAAAGAGGCTCGAATGAAGAAGAAAGTCTTCATTTTGGTTTAAGATGAACCACTCTGATCAAACCGCGAGAAGTGTCGGGGATCACCTTGCTGTGGGCGTAAACCACAGATCCCAGGAGTTTCCAGGTGCCTCCGCGGCGATCCATGCGCAGCATGCGCAGGATCTGCAGGAACCTCAGACTTCTGATGGCCGAAGTGGCAAAAACATTCCCCTGAGACCCCGCTGCCAGTACAGACACTGAAGCGATCAGCACCATGATGTCTGCAGAAACACAGAAACTTATTTTACATCAGTTTAACTAAGTTTACTCTAAAAATCATGGAAACTCGTTCAAAGTCAAAACTGCCTGAGTTATTTGTCAGTTTCAGGCTTTGTTATTGTTATTAAACAAAAAAAGGTTTCCATGGAAGTCCATTTCCACCACTTTTATCTAAAAATAAAATGTTACTTTATATCTGCAGTGTTTTTTGACAGCAACAAATAATTCAATTCCTTTGTTTAACCTGATTAAAACCACATTAGATCTCATTTGCAGGAGGGATCAGAACACATCATGGTAATTACAAGATACTATCTTATAATTACAAGACATCTTATAACAAAGACTTAGCATCTCGTAATTATAACTAAGCATTTTCATATTAAGACTTAGCATCTCAAAATCTAATCATTTCCACAATAATAAGATGCTACAGCAGCAGCAAATTTTAGCATTTTAAGATAGCATCTCATAATATTGGGATGATAATTCATATTTTGAGGTAATAACTCACAATTATAACTTAAGTCTTTTCTTGAGAGTGGTGGAAATGAGCTTCCATTTGTGTTTTTGAGCTCTCTCGCTCTCGCAGCAGAGTAAAAGAAATGACTTTTTGTTTTCTCACCTATGACACAGAAAGGCTTTCTGGCGAATTTTAGCCTCCCCCTCCATCCTCTGTACCGACAGCAACAACCAGCAGACCATATCCGAACAATGTACTCTACTCCGAACACCACGATGGTCACAAATTCCTGCAGAGTGAACCAAAACTGGGCAGCTAAAAACTTTAAACCTTTCGTTGTAAACATGAACACTTCGTGAAATAGTCTTAATGAATTTGGTTGAAGAGACTTAAAGCACCCTCTCCCCCCGGCTCAGAAGCTAATACAGTAAAYGGTCTCGCAGCACCTTTGTTAAATGTGTTTTTCTTGTGGTCAGAAATACATCAATCAGCTTTTTGCGGCTGTAGTGGCCTGCCTGCTCGCTGCGAGTCTTTGGAATCAAATAACATAATCATCGTCCTCTAACTGGGTGGAGGAGAGACAAAGAGCGTGTAAGGAAGCAAGATTTGTTGGAGTGGTATAGCCTGCAAAGCTCAGACCTTGGAGACTCCCGGAGCAAATGGTTCAAATATGCAAACTGATACTTACCAAGATGTACAAGGCATTCTCTGACTTGTCTTTGTGCTCTTTGATGGTAGCAAAGACAGAGAGGATGAGACAGGAGAAGACCAAGAAGAAGCTGGAAGAGATGAGAGAAACATTTTAATCTTTACTGGGTCACAGTTAAACTGTCAGGATGTATTGCAAAGTTTTCTTTATTCATGAGGAAAAACATCAGCTGATCAGCTCTCTGTTTACAGCTCATGTGATGTCATGGTAAAATGATAAATGACCTGAACTGATAGAACTCTTTATCAAGTCCCATTCATACATTCAAAGGGATTTTATCGCTAAATATTATGATCAGTGAGTCAAAAGAATCAAAGTACATGACACCAAATGAGTCATGACGAGCAAGTAGTTGTAAGATTCAAGATAATCTAAATGCGTAATTACATCATCTTTAAGTGTTGTGATTAAACTTTGATTAATTGATGTGCCCTATGTCAAGTAGCTGAACCCCAGGAGAAATTAAAAAGAAAAAATAAGTAAGGTCCTCTGGATGGGTTCTTCTTTAATGAAACATTTCGTCTCTCCTCCAAGAGACTTCTTCAGTCTGAGGAGTTTCAAATGAACTCAGCCTTATAAGCACTGCCTCCACATGGTGGACAAACAGGTTAGTCACATGCAAAAGAGGGCCCGGTCCATCGCCTAACAATAGGCWTGATTAGCTCTATTGTTCATAGAGGGTCATGTGCTCCATCACCTGACTTATTGGTTTGGATGCTTCGGCTGTGGTTATTTGGTGTCGTGTTATGTGAATGTAGTGAGTGCAAGTGGGGCTCAACGCCCCCTTGTTTTTGTCTTTCTTTCCCCCTTTGTGTTGGTATCATTGGGGCCCTGATTCATACCTTTTGCTCACAGGGGGCTGAGTCATACTTGCAATAACAGCGTTGTAGGAGGACAAACAGACACGAAGGCCTCCACCTCTGTTTAATGGTGGATGGTTTTTCTTCACAAAGATGGCTTCTTTTACTCCTTTCTCAAACCGACGTTCCTCCCTATCAAGGATGAGAACATCTTCATCCTGAAAGAGTGACCACTGGCCTGTAGATGAGTGTAAACTGCAGAGTCCTGGCCTGTAGATGAGTGTAAACTGCAGAGTCCTGACCTGACACCGTAACTCGTTTGTGCTGGCTCATTCTTTTGAACAGTGGCTGTTTTGTTTCCCCAATGTATGACTGATCACAGTCCTCCTGACACTTAACAGCATATACTATATTTCTCTGTTTTTGCCAGGGAACTGGATCTTTGGGGTGAACTAATCTTTGTCGTAACGTGTTTTGGGGTTTGAAAGCCACTGGGACGTCAAGTTTAGAGAATAAACATCTCAGTTTCTCTGAAACTCCCGCCACATATGGAGTCCTGGTTTGCAGATGAGTGTAAAATGTAGAGTCCTGGTTTGTAGATGAGTGTAAACTGTAGAGTCCTGGTTTGCAGATGAGTGTAAACTGTAGAGTCCTGGTTTGCAGATGAGTGTAAAATGTAGAGTCCTGGTTTGTAGATGAGTGTAAACTGTAGAGTCCTGGTTTGTAGATGAGTGTAAACTGCAGAATCCCGGTATGTAGATGAGTGTAAACTGTAGAGTCCTGGTCTGTAGATGAGCGTAAACTGCAGAATCCTGGCCTGTAGATGAGTGTAAACTGTAGAGTCCCGGTATATAGATGAGTGTAAACTGCAGAATCCCGGTATGTAGATGAGTGTAAACTGTAGAGTCCTG